AGTTCCGAGATCCAGTGACTCCGAAAAATAATTTTCCGTCAAAGCGAGTTTTTATTAGAAGGTTCTGACTGCTTCCTGAATCCTCGTGATCGCCTGAAGACCGGCGCTATCTGGGTCGTATTTCATAATTGAATCCGTCGACATCCAGTCCGCCATAGTGCAATGGTATATATTAGCAATTAACAAAAAGTAGACTCTTCTTCGCTCTGCTCCGTGTGCATGATAGCGTCTAGGCCGCCTCCGAGATATGGGCAGCTTTCATGCATGTCCTGGAGCTCAGGGTCAGATGGGATCGTACTCTGGATCGTCCGATAGACTCAACGAGTGCCAGAGAGTCGCCTGTCGCCACTTGACTGAGAACTCGGTATTCCTTCCGTTTAACAAACGATGAACTGATGGTGACGGTCCGATCCGCGGAGCTTCCAGACGGCTTCGATCAATGAGAACGAATGGTCTTTAAACGCGCTTCGCCTCGAGATCGCACTTTTCGACTTCCGTGTGGGGGATGTCGCCATAACCCGACTCCCTGATCGAGAGACGCTCGAGATTCGCGCGCAGAGAGTTTGCCTCGCAAGTGGCCGGAGGACTTGGGTCGTTTCCACGAAGAGCGTTGTCTTCTCCGGTCGATGAGGCAAGGTTTTGACGCGATTCGCCAGCTCCCCTGGCAAAGTGGGACGACTCCAGCCACAAGATAACCCGCCGCACCCGTGCATCGGCCGAGATTTTCGCCCTAGCCGGTCCTGAGCGTCGAAGCTCGCGGCAGGGACTTCTTAGTCGCTGATTTCTCGTTGGAGGCATCTCTGCAGTATTTTAATCAGGATCTCTCACGGTAAAGAGGAATGGATAGATGAAGCGGCGTCGCGTGATTTGCTTCCTAGCTTCAGGGATCGCGAGGAGTTTCTCGGATAGTCAGCACACTGAGGAGATTCACACTCCTGGGAGTCGAAGGCGTCGACGTCCGTCATATATGGGCATGGTTCTGGAGAGAATCGCGCGAAATACCCACCCGCCAGGAGACTACCGATCGGGGTCCGAGCCCGTCGAGAACTACAGATCGTACATTTTAGGAGAGTCGAATTTCTTTGTCGAGTCGCCGTTCGGGTGATTACCGGAGGTTTTCTGATGAGTTCAAAGCCGGCCCACTGCGAGACATGATTATTGGGGGTGCTGCATGGGGTCCCGGGTATCTCGGAGAAGAGCACGGTCCACACCCCTTGCTGATCCGTCAAGAGATGCCTCGTAATGACTCGGGACCGATTCTCTCTTGGAACGTGATCTTTGCGCTCTTCACGAATCTAGGTTCCCCGGAACTGTGGAGACAAAGTCTTTCGTCTGGGAGCCGATAATTCGGCGACTCTCGAGAGCAGAATATCCCACGTTGAGATGCCCCAAGCCATGATTCAGCGTTATGTCTCCTTGATGCGAATTACCGCACCGAACGGCCACGCAATTAAGCCGTCAGAAGTCAAAACACACACCCTCGGAGTTCTCCCTATAGAGCGGCTCGGTGAAAGTTATATGCATCAAAAAACCGCGAGAGCAGTGCGGTTCGTCCACAGACCAGAAGTTGAGCAAGCTGAGCAAGCCCCCCATGATGCTGACGGCCATCCTGCATTTTCCTAACGCATTAATGTGTTCAGATGTCACCCTTGAACACTTTTCCCGCTCCATTCCCGCTTGCTCTTCCGCGAGCGCTAAAAGGAAACGGTCTCCTCTCCTCAACTCTCAGTTTGAAGGTCGACAATAATAATTGCAGAATCGTACTGTGATTTTGGCGACAGAAGTCGTTTACCTCACAATCTGATTTCCTGTAAGCTGCATCGATGCGAGACCGCCTGGACAGCGCTTCTGCTCTCGAGGCTCGACTTTCGCGCCTCGGCCATGCAGCAATCTTATCTTGGGATTGTCTCCCGGATTCCCGCTTGACGTACGTTGATTACATACGATCGCGGAATCTCATGCTTCCATGATATCGAGGCTCCAAGCTCCGCGGGTCGTGGTCTACACTTCCTGGTCCGACCGAGGCCGCTATGCCCCGACATGCCATGAATAAGCAGTCGAACTTCGTAGAATTATGGAAACGTCTAACGAGGAACGGATAAGGGTCCAAGGTCATCATCATCACCATATCAACCGAGCGACGGATCTATTCCTTCCGATTTCGTTTCGCTCCGTCCCCCGTTTCTCCGGGTGCTCCCATCACACGCGTCGTTGAAATAAGCGCCGTTTTTCTGTCCGAGCCGCTGATTTTTTCCGCTTCCTTTCATGCTCTCAGAAGACCCGGCAATGTATCGGAGCTCGGAGACGAAGAGCGTCTCCGCTCCACCAAGAAAGTATGCCCGAGCGGTCCGGGGCCGATGACTATACGAGACGCTTTCCTGCATGAGATCAATGTAACATCAGCTCGTCTAAGAAATGGTGGAAGACGTCCGGATCTCGATTTCGACTCCGGTACGATCAATTCCGCACGAGGGAGAATCGTCGCCTATATTCTTTCCGGCGGTTGTATATCTTTTCCGTGTAGTACTTCTTCCGCTCGACTTGGACAGAATTTTTTCCTCGGAAGAGATTCGAAGAATGCATCGGTCGTCCGCGCTCGGGAAAAATACTCCCGCTATTAGTGAGCATCTCCCGCTCTCGATGTGCTTCAAAATCTGCCGAATCTTGCGAGTAGCCTCTGAGTTCGGGAATCGCACTTTCGACGAAGTGAAAATCGAACTCGACGGATGCTCCAAGCTGATTCCAAGACGTGCTCGCGCCGAGAATTCGGCCGCATTACAAATCACCTGAACACAACCTAGACCTTCTCTCAAACACCCGAGAATCTCGTCTACCCTCCCCCGTGAATTGTCGTTCCCGAGAATAATCATTCCACCTGTGGATCACTCTTGGGGACGAAAAAGATAAAAATGTCCTCGATGTTTGAATTCAGTTAATAAATGTTTATTACTCTCATCATTATCGCGCGTTCGTCTCCTGTGTACTCTGTGTTTATCATATTCCGCTTCGTACCCAATAGTTTCTTGCATTGAATGTTACCGGCGAGTTTACCAGCGTCTTTGACTGTGGTGCCTTCTAATCTAAATAAACTTTCTACAGGGTTCAGCATATTCACCCTTCCCTCCGAATGCTTCAAGGATATATAGATATTCAGAAGGGCAGATAGATAGACAACTAGACCGGGTCCAGATCCTACCATGAGCCATTCCATGAACTCCCCGACACTCTGTGTCCATCTCATTTCCATTTTTTTATATACGGAACATGGCATCGTTCTCGCCGCCAAGGTTCTTCCTCCGGTGACGATCTCACAACAAATTACAGTTCAGATGGGCATTCGATTACGAATAACTATTTCCCTCCTGCTCCGAGTGCAGTTCTTCTGGCAGAAGCGGCGGCTCACAATGGCGAGGTAAAATATTTTGGTCAAACCTAGCGGCCTCGCATCCGGGATCAGATCCCATACAAGACTGGGTCTCGTTCCCGCTGCACGGGACTCATCATGAATAAATAATCATACAATGATCGACTCGCTCGTCCATTCGTCCAGCCATGTATTCATCCATCGCGTATACCGTTTTATCCACTCTTCGTGGATGCCAGACAAATCCTCATATCACAAATTGCGAACCTCGTATTTGAGAAGATCGAGTCGAATATTATCGTCCTTGTGTTCCCAATGATTCGATCATGAACTCCCAAGGAACCAGGAAAGTGCTCAGGCACTGGGTTTTGCTTTCCTAAGATCGTTTTCGATCGATCCGAGACGTTTCAAGAGGAACGTAGTCCTCGTCTGATAAGACGTTCCGACCATTTCAGTCCCGACTGTAAGCTCGACGCTGAACCAGGAGCTCGCGAATTCCGCCTCTACCTCTGGAGGCAGCGGCTTGAATTGGGGTTCTCAGCCGCGTCGAGTGCTGACTTCCGTGTCGGATTCAAACCTTCGGCACTTGGGTCTAACCCTGGCCGTCGCGATGTCATTCCCCCTCATAGAAGCGCTAACTCGAGCGGATGCTAAGTGTGATGACCGAGATCTAAATTCATCGAACTACATTTTATTTACACGATTTTGCGATCTTGCCCCGGTATGGAGTGTCAGCGCCGCGTCGAACTCCACGAGCTCTATCGGATGCGCTTAAAACAACATGAACGATGATAAACGAGGAGAAAAAAAATGCTCTACGGCTTGAAATATGTCTTCGGGATGGGATGCGTGTTCAAAACACGATCCGGCTCGGAGAAGCTGCGGATTCATATTCCTAAACTGACCCTGGTGGCATGTGGTGACATGATCGCGTCTGACTGAGCTCGCAACCGAAGCGTCGTGATGGCGAACCCGTCCCTGTAATTCCCGTCGATACTGCGCTTGTATCCGAGCCCAATCGATCCGTTGGACCTCCATCGGAAATCTCTACGCGCATGGGGATCCGGGAATACGCAACCGGTCGTCGTATAGGAGCCGATTCCGGTCGGCTCCGGAAAGGGTGAAAATCGTGGGAGGAGGTGAAGATCTATGTCCCCCCCTCGCTGCGGAGCTCATGTTCTTCTCAGAATCACTATGATGCTCCGCATCTCTCGATCGCCTCGTATACCCAACAGGGCTCCGTACGAAAGTCGCACTCAATCTTCGCCGGAGCCGGCATTACTAGAAATTATTTTCATAATAATAAAGTTCTTTTCTGTTCGCCTCACTAAAGAGCCCGGCACCTAGTGACGGCGCTGAGATTGCTTAGTAGAATATATCGGGATCATCGTTTGCGACGCCTCGCGATCGCTCGTTCGCTCATTAGCGAGACCACTATGTGGCTGTTGCAGGGATTGTGCGGGGTGCTCCTTGGTCGCGGGGATCGGGTCGGTTTCCGGGGTAGGAAATGCGGGGAATGATGTGAACCGCTCGTTCGATGTGTTGATTGATTGACTGATCGCACGAACGGTCGATCGATCGACTCTCGGCTCAGTCAATCGATTCGGAAGGTCTAGATGAACTCCCCCCTCGGGCTTCATTTGGAGACCGGTGCGAACCCCGGTGACGTCACAGACTCAAGTTTAGCGTGACGTTTCCGATGAGCCGCCACTTTGTTCGTATCGGCGCAGACGAAGTCGCACTTCGTACAGTGATAGTGTGACGCTTTGGCCGTGTTGCTGGGATTTGCCGCGTTGAACGCGCAATCCGCTCGGCCACACGAGAGATTCGCTCGGTATTGCTGAAATTCGTCCCCCATCACGCTGTCGGTACGCTCGTGGCGCGCAGAATGTTGCGAAAAGCGAGTCTTGTCGCAGAACGAATAGTTGCAATTCAGCCGCGTGCAGTGGAAGTGCGTTTGGTGCTCGCGGTAGCTACACGACGCGAAGCCGCAGTCTTCATTAAAGCGGAACTTGAGATATCCTTCAGGAACGGGTTCTTCTGATTTCGTCGTTCCCGTCGCGGTCGTCGTCGACGAAGATGAGGACGAAGACGTGGACGTTGAGTTGGACGTGCGAGGTCTCTTCGAGACTCCGGGAGGACTCGCTGAGCCAGCGAACGGAAAACTTCGCTTGTCCCCGCCGAGAGCCGCGGAGCCCGCCGTGCCTGCAAGATCACCCTGAGCTCGTATCGCATTCGCGTATTCAAGTATAATCATGTGACATTATCAACGAAAATTTCCAGAACCGAGATGCTTCCGGCATGGCTCGGGGCAAAACGCTCGGACTCACCGTAGAGGAACTCGGGATTCGCGAGTGGCTGAGCGGCCAACTGTTGCTGAAGCTCGAGAGGGAACGCGTTCGGTTGCTGGAGATCACTCAGTGAAAGCATGCCTGGCATGTAGCTTTGCGGAGAGCCCAAACCCCAGAGGAGAGCTGGAAACCGGGCTGGACTCAACAGATTTCCCGGCGAGTCCGACGAAGCTTCGCTGGGCGATCGTAGAAGGCCGCTGAAATGCTGTTGCAGAGATTGTGCGGAATGTTCCTTGGGCAGAGGAGACGGCGCCTCCTCTTTCGGCAACGGGGAGAAAATCCCGGACGACTTCGCTTTGAGGCCCGCGGAGCCTGCCGGAGGCGAGTCCTCGCCGTCTGAAGTCTTCTTCGATAGAGGGCTCGAGTTGGCGTTTCTTTGGTCTTCGGGCGACGACAGATTCGCCGCCATCGGTTCGCTTTTGACCGGAGTCGCAAGCGTCTCGTGAGTCGCGTCGTGAGCGCTCACGGCCGACATCCGCACAAACGACTGATCGCAGCCGCTGCGGGTGCAGTGGAAATGACGAATCTTCCGGTTGCTCTCGCAGCGAGCTCGTCGGCAGTCGATGCTGCTGTCGTAGACCTCATAATTCTCGCTGATGTCGATATTTTGGTGGAAACCGGAATGGAGGTCGAGAATGTCGTCGCGATTCGTCGCGTAGAAGCATCGTTCGACGTTGCAATGGAAATGCCGTTTGCCGGAAAACGAACACAAGTCGTCATGGCATTGAGCGCCGTCCTGGAAGACATCGAATCCTTCGAACGATTCGTCGGGAAGCGACTCGTTCCCGCTCAATTTGAATCCGTCTCTACTCTCGGAGAGCATCTTCAGCGTTTTATACGTCAGCTGACCGCTCAGAGGAGTAACGGACGCCGCGGAGGCGTTGAGCGCGACAGCTAACGACGTAGGAACGGGAGTCTTCGGTGAGTCCAGCTTGGCTGGTCTCCCGCGTTTCTTCGGGAAATTCATGGAATCGGTCGCGCAGGGAGTGCGTGCGAGAAGTTCTTCTTTGGTGGGTTTTGAGTTTTTGTCATTAATGTCGTGGAACTTGAAGTGCTCCAGCCGCTTAAAGGGTGCTTCACTGCTGCTGAGGATGTCCCCACATTCGGGCTGCAACGATCGGAGAATTTTGAGTACCGTTTCGCTGAATGAAACGAAGATCGGGACGACTTCGACGGCGCGGCGTCACTGCCCACCGTCTCGGATGAATATTATTCGTCCTATTAATCGATTCGAAAAATAATGGTAGAAAGTGCAAACTCACCCAAAGACAGTGGTAATGTTTCTCCCGTAAATAGTAGGGACAGTCTTTCGTGCAGTCCGCTTCGATACTTTTACCAACCGTATGGAAAAACGACTGGGTGATCCGATCTTGATACTCGTGACTGGCGGCGTGTTCGTTCGCTTCACGAGACTCACCGCTGGGTCCGGCCGAGATAATGGCTGTGCAATTATCTGCGGACAATAATTCGTCTTTCAATTTCCCGCTCCGTATGACATATCGGAGGCCAGACAGCGACGTTCCCGAGCCCTGCCGTACCCTAGATTAATTCCACGGAAAATGGAGCCGATGAGGCGATTTTTCCCGAAAAGTCGAATGAAGTTCACCTGTTATACAGTGGTAATGCTCGCGGTACATTAGGTCGCAATCCGACTTGCAGACATCGCCGACCGGATAGCGATTCATGTATCGAGTCCAGGTGTCTTCGTCGGCGAGGATCGGAAGACGCTCCTCATCGTCCAAGAAGTTGATCGAAGGAGTTGTGTTGAACATCGGCGGATGGTTCGCGAATCCTGTGAAGGAGGACCGTACCGTCAATACCACCTTATCCTCGTCTACGTCTTCATGAGAGAGATAGATATGGAGTCCCTACGGAGACCCAGACCTTGCGAATCCGGCTTACCCATGTTCCTGCCGGAATTGTTGTCGGTGCCGAAGGATCCGTTACCATTACTCGAGCTCGAGGGCAGGATGCTGTTCGAAGCCGAATTGCTCAGGGGAGACTCGGGTTTCGCATCGGCTGATGCCGACATCGACAGCATCGAAGAAGCCTCGTTCGGTGGTAGCATGCTCTGAGCCAATTTCATTTTCCTGTAAGCGAGCTCGTTGTCCTGGCGTTCATGCTTCCGCTTGTGCGAATATAGTTGTCCCGAGCTCTGAAGCACGAAATTGCATCCAGGCCGAATGCAGTGGATGTGGTTACAGGTCAAGTTGAAACGGCAGCCTGCGAAGACACAAGGCTCATGCTTCATGAATTTCCGGAAGCCGTCTTTTGCGAGCTGCTCGTCTTTGATGTGATAGGTTTTATGCTTCTCGATGTCGGCCTTGTTCTTGAATGTTGTCGAACAGTTGTCCCGAATGCAGTGGAAGTGCGTTGTGCGTTGATTGTAGAACTGGCAAGCCGGCGTTTCACAATCCTCGGTTGCTCGGAACCGCTGGAATCCTTCCTGAATGATGGCGATGTCTTTCTTGTGGTAGTTCGAGTGCATTTGGACGTCGGAAGTAGAGATATAGCATTTATCGCACTTGTCGTGCATGCAGTGGTAATGGGTCTGTTTCCGGTTGTGAACGCAGTCCGGAAACTTGATCGAGCAATCGTCCGATGGAGAATAGCGGAGGAACCCGTGCGTGAGGCTCTCGTCGCGTTTTTTATGCCATTTGAAGTGGCGGATCATCTCTTCTTTTTTCACGAATACCTGGGAGGAGCGAAGGAAAACGCTATTAGATTGTATTCGCCCGTGACATTGAATCATGGATCGAGCTCCGACATATCTGGGGCGAATTTCATGAAACCCGTCGCTGTTCTGTGAAATCCGCCTAGGCCTCGTAATCGGTGTTTCTCTAATCAGCGAAGTTTCGATGACTCACTGCGGAGGGGAGCGACAGTGAGAAAAAAACTTTCCTTCTCGGAGCAGCTCTCTGAACAAACGGGTGGACGAGCGAGCGAGGTGCGCCTCGAATTCGCAGTTCGAACACCTCGAAAGCTACATCCGGTGACACCCTCTCTCTGAGGTAACCCTTGCTAACTTTTGAGAGAACTCGGAAAACTCGAGAACACATTATCGATCGATGGATCGATAAGACTCTTATTGAAGGAGTACTCCATCGGAGTTCGTCGACTCCGAATATTACTCCTTTGAATCAAATTCGTAGAGAAAGCGATCGCATGACCATTTGACCTGAGGGCCGAGAACTTCGGGAACATTCAACTTCAGAATGCGGAGTCCGATTTCTGTCGGGATAACAACAATAGCCTCCAATGGCTCTGAGGTCGCTTCGTCATAACACGATCTTTGGCGTCGCTCCTTAGAATAATGCTAAACAGGAGTTCGCTACTCCACATTGGATGCCGTCGAAGTGGAATACCACCTGCATCGAATCAAACGAACAAATGAGCATAAAGCTAAAACTCAATTAATTCCTTCTGATCGGAGGCATCGTCATTGTTTCCGATCGGATGCCTGCTTGCCTGCTGCTGGTACTGCTGGCAAGCACACTGCAGACCGTCGTGGGTGGCTGTGAGAATTCAGAGTCTGATATTGGAATTGATGCCGTTATACTGAGTGAGCGTCAACGAGCTCGTAGGCAACATCAGCCGACGGGTCGCACGGGATGTCGGTCACAGATAAATAAACCGCATCCGGAGACGAGAGCATGCACTCGTGAGGGCACAACAATTCAGAGGACACATTCTCCTTTATACGCACCCGGAAATTGCAATCCAGACAGTGGTAATGCTCCCTGTAGTTGAGATCCTTGCAGTAATTATTGCCGCAGTGCTTCGAGCTAGGATACCGACGGATGTAACGGGAATAATCCAAGGCAGCGTTCTTCCCGTCTTTGGCTGGAAACAAAAGAACAGAGAGGGTGTTATTCCCGCAAATAGACTCACGATATCTTTGAAGCTCGACATCCGGAGCGGACTTATCTATGTAGTGGTCGCCGTATGGGTTCGGAGCAATGCCCAAGAAATCAAATTTCACATTAAGATTGACGACAGGCGGCGTGGACCACGCTTCTTCTGAACTTCGCAACGAACTTCGCTATCGATTCTCGGCGTTAGAAATGAAATGCCGGAGGTCCGTTGCCGTGAAGAATCCTCAGAACATAGTAGTCTTGCTCTTTCTATTAGTAGAGCCAGGAGTGACACTGGAGATCTACGACTGACTGAGACATGACGCTGATGGATGGCTCAGTTGTTTTCGCCCGGGACTCATTCAAAGTCTCAACTGAGAGATTGATCGATTGGCTCGATCGAGAATTTAATCGCTCGATTTAGGCTCGGCTCCCCGGCGGCGGTGCGAAGAACCCTACCATTCATCTGACAGATAAAAATCGCTGCTACATTCATAAAACAACATATGACCAGACCGACAATACAATGGTCTGATTACCCGGGCCGGAGGAGATCCCGCTGCATCGAAACCCGCAACGGAAAAAAACGGAGCCACAGTACCGTCAAGCGTACGGGAACTGCACGAGCCGCGGCGGCCGCTTTCGTGGACGGGCCTTCGCTATCTTCTCCCCGTCTCTTCAGAAACAAATAATTGAAGGCGAATAATAGAGTTCGTTTAAAAAATCAGATATTCGGCAGCCGTACATAGATCAGATAGATGCAGGCGCTACACGTTTCGGTCAACGTCAACAACATAGCAGCGTAAACACGTTTTTGGTTTCAGCGGGAACCGCCGTCGTTGGAAACTCATTCTTCCCAGCCCAGTTTTCTTTCCATTCATCGTTGCGTAGATAATTCCATTTTTTTTCTTGTTTTCCTCTATCCGGACTCCTGGTCGGAATTTTCTGTGCATTGGGTCCGAAAGTCCGAGAAGACGATGGCGACGCCGCGCCGGGCTTCGTTTCTCCGTCAGTTTCTTCCTTTTCCGAAAAAAATAATCTAATAGCACACCCTTTTGTCTAGATGGAAGCTTGAACAACATCAACGACGACGACGACGAATGATTCTGTGGTCATTGTTCCTTAGATCGTGCATTTTCAGTTTATTTGAAATTTTCACTCCGAAAAGAATGATTGCGGGGAATCCACGACGAAACCCAGAAAGAGCCGGCGTGGCTAAATGCAAGTCCGGATTTTATAGAGCACTCCAGGGATGCACACACGAGTGGATGAAAGCGCAGATGAATACGCGATCTGCGCGGAGTTCGCAGCTGACAGGAAAACAGAAAGAAGGTGGATAAGCAGAGCGGAGTAACAGCGAAATTGAGCCACGGATACGCCGGCGGCGATGACGATTCTGATGAATCATTCCGCGATCTTCGTATGAATTTGGACTTCTCATCTTTTTTTCTGATAAAATTCACGTCACCACATCATCGGAGAAATTCCAGACGAACCTCTTATGCGGAAAAAAGAGTTTGGATCTTACGAGTTCCTGGAGCTGCTCGCGGCGCCTCGTTCTTATACTTTCTCTTCCGGTTTCTCCGTGAGCTCAAAAGATCTATTTATTGTATCATTCGTCAGAGATTCGAATAGGGAACACGCGTACCGTCCACAGAGGGATTACAGTATTTCGTTAATTTGAATAGTACCAGTGCGCCGTCAGTTTCGCGCGATGTATGTCGGTCGCTCGGTCACCATTATTTGCCAATGGGCCGTGGCAGTAGCGACGACGTCGTCGTTGTTCATCCGACATCATTCGATTTCTACTTTTGGGCCTTTTCCGCTCTTCCTTCGCCTCGGGCTACGCTCGATGAAGACCGTTGGCTCGGCCTGGAGCGCCGCGAAAGCCATTCCTTAACCAACCCGCAGCACACCGCTCTTCGGCGAACGTTCAAAATTACAAATATATCAAGTACGGGTAGAACAACAATGTAATTTGGGCGTTCATTTCTACATTTCGGCTCCTCTGAGGAGCGTTCCGCATGAATTTTCCACTCATCAGCACAATATAGGATTGTTCGCGGCAGCCGATCCCGTCGCTCTGTTAATTTTCAAGAATGGTCGAATGGAAGCGGAATATGGAAAAAGATTAGAAACTCTCCGTCAGAGGAAGCAACCTATTCTCCTGAGCAATGTCACCCCCGAGTCCAGACATTGGATTTTCCGCCAGAGGTTACCGACGTTTGTTTCAAGCGCCTCGCCGAAAGATCTGGCCCATAGGACCCGCGAGCCAGAACCGATGAGCGCCACGCTGCATGATATGTATGTTGCTCGATTATTGTTTAAACGAGCGGCACGGCAGTCACAGAAAAATGCGATCCGTTATTTTGCTCTCTTTTTGGCAACTTTAGTACCAGCCATTTCATTTATGAGGGATCAAATGAAGACGGCCAGGATACATCGGATCGTCCGGCCGAGTCACCATGGCACACAAACACACAGCAAGATATGCCCTCAGGCGACTTGTGTCTCCGGCGCAAGCGAGAGAAATGTGGATCAAGCGTCAAACGACGAAATGCCATGGAATGAAGCGGCGACGTATCAACTATATATACGATGGTCAACTTTCGGAGAAGAAATTTTGTGTCGAGTGTAGCCATTCCTTGCTTAATCCGTTTCCATTTCGAATCGTTACGCGCGCACGGACCGCTATAACAAGCGGTCCGATCGACGCGGCGGATGAGGAGGGATGGATTAGTCGTAAATTCTCTTTTTGGTAGAATAATAACGCGTATAAAAAAGAAACTATAACTGTTCTCCGGATTTCCCTGCCTCATTAGTCCGTATTGAAGCGCGCTTGCTATCAGCCGCAAATTGCGGAGGTCGCGTAAATAAAACAAAATCGCATCCCGATTATATCGTCGAGTAGCGCAATGCAGATTTTCCCGCCGTAGGGAACCGTAATCGAGAGAGAGGCGGCTCTCGCTCCGACTGAAGACGGTCCAGAGCGACGTCGACCGACTCACCTGTATTGGCGTTCGTTGGTTTGCTTAAGGTCGCCGGGGGCGTTATCAGGAGGCTGCTCGCCGCCCCGAACGACGTGGATCCTTTCTGGGGAGGAGGTGTCATCATAGAAGAAGATGATGCCAAATTCGATGTCAGACACATCGATGGTGGAAACATCTGGAATTGAGTCAATAGGAACTTGAGGATGCGTTAGGATTTCTAGAGGCGTGAAAATTATTATACCGATCCTTCCTTCCTTCAAATGTGGAACCCCAACTCTCATTGATCATCCCTATCGAATCGCCGATGGTATCCGGCTGCGCCTGGAATTACGTTTCTGATCCACGATTCAATCCGTTTTTTCCCCGGTTCTCCAGTTGCCGGCGCGGTTTCCGCGCGAATTCTCAGATCGTCTCGTAGGCGGTGTTCATAGCTGTTGTTCCACAAGCCGTGCGATTTGTTTGTTGTCTGAATGTTGGCCGGAGCAGAGTTTCGGCAGAAAAATGATTATTTCTCCCGACAAGTAATGCGGCCGGACGCGAGTAGAGCGCTAATGTCTCGGAACTCACGCGTTTCAACTCTGGAGGAATTCTCTGTTCGACGCATCAGAACGCTTGAAGTCTTCGGAAGGCGAAAGATTCACAGCGATTTGTCGGACCGATTTGCTCGTTGGCGTTGTTGCCGAAACAGCCATTCGAGAATCAAAATACATGGAAGCAGAAGAAGAACACTGCTGACAAACGTTTCTTCGGAAACGAGCGGAACAGCGTCGAGTCGACCCCGGTTCCGTCCGTGTCCGAGAGGGAAGCGTCCGGCATCGGGCTGAGTCACCGGATCGCTTGCCAATCGGTGGCCGGATCGAGGAAAGCTCGCTGTACAAATACACTCTGCCTTCATTTGCCTCCCCCCTCTAACAGAAGGTGACTTCGCCTCTGAGTTAAGACGCTTGAATTTATTATCGAATTGACACACGTAGAAAAGTTATGTCCCCGACATAAGCTCATCAAAAGTTGAGTTCTTCTCGGGAAAGTGAGCGGTCGGCCCGCCGCCGAGCCGTGCTCGTGATGTCGTGCGCTTGGTGCTCCCACAGCCGTCGCTGCTCAAACAAAGCGATGATCGTTCAGATAGACGTCGTCGAGTCATTGGATCTCAATTCAATCCAAGGCTATTGTGGAAGTCTGTGGTGTTCGCGGGTCGTTCCTCGCTTCTGTCTGAAGAACCAATCGTTTCAGCCACTTGTGCGAAACACGCTCTGTCGTCACCCTTGACAACAACGTCGGCGACGACGCCGATGACCACAGCGTCGCGAAGTTGTTCTTTTTCTTTCTTATTTGATTGTCAATGTGATGGCGGCTTTCGGGAGGATGGATGACCGGCTGATGACGAGCACTCTCTTAGTCAAGCTCTTTCTCTCTGACCGGCGAACGCTTTCACACAGATCGAGGAGATCATCAACACCAGCACATAATTATTGTCCGGCCGCTAATCTTGGCTCAAATTGTGTGTATCTTGGCTCATATCTTGATGTGTTCGTCTCGTTGTTTGCCACCACGTCGCGAATGCATGCGAAAAGACAATTGATAGGCGAACAATGAATTCCTCGAGATTCGAGGAATTCGGCCGCGATTCGCTTGGCGAGTTCCCCTCTCGACCCGCGAATCTGACTTCATTCATTTTCGACCTAATCGAAGTCTCGTGGGCCGTCGAGTGTTTTCCTTCCAGGCTACTGTTCGATCTGGGCACCTGTCGCCGCTCGCCTCGAGTTCGTATGGGTTTCTGTGCGCTTGGTGTGACAGCCGAATGAATAAGAGACACTAGAGGAACATACACAAGCAAACAGTTGGTCGGGCGGGTGGACGGTTTGACATCTGAAATGCGCTTGCTATGTGCTCGCCTCTCCTCGCAATGAGTTCGTCGGCAGAGCGCTTCGATCCGAAGACCTTCGATCTTTCGATCTCGAGCTTTCCGAGCGAACAGGCCGAATGCTTCGCGCACAGCTTTCTTCTTGAAAATAAGTCAACCCCAGTCGGCGGGTCCGTTCGCTGACTGACTGACTGGCTGGCTCGATAGGAAGACACAGAGGAGGACGTCGTCTCGCTTGTTGCCGCGACACAATTCGAACATTTCGCCAGAGAATCACAGACGCACGAGCACACACAGCGACTTCGATTGGGCTTCGAAAAAAAGACCTGCTTGACCGACCTAGCGCTTCTAAGCGCGATAAGCCATCTTTGTCTTTCCGATGCGGACCGCACTTGGACTCGTCATCAGTCGATGCGAGCCACCACATAGAGAAAAAAAGCGACACCATAACTTCGAGGATCCCGATTCCCTCCTTCGGAAAACTTCGGGTAAGAATCTCGCGAACGATCTCCGAGAGAAATGCGGATCCTCCAGGCAAGAGCAACCATTGGTAAGACTGCACAGGAGTTGTCTCTCTCACCCCGGGTTTTCGTGTCAATCGCGGATCGAACGATAACAAGGCTGGTGGGCCACACCCTAGGCGGGATGGAGAGCAAAATAGTCTATACCCATGACGCCGACCACCCTCATATGTACTACCTCTCACGGGATGTACTTCCGATGTTCATTATCATCGTATCAGAGCATTCGATCCACGCAGAATGCTTATCCAACCACCGCCGATCAAACGCCTCTGGAAAACGCTGGGCGAGCGCGACACGGTTCTCCAGACCGTGGGAAACTTTTTTTGGTCTGGCTTTCTTGATCGGGACAGTTTTTATATTGGATTTTGCTTTTCGGCGCTAGTCAGCCGATTTTGCGATAGCATTAAGTAATTGGGTGCTACGCGCGGTCTACCGTGTTACGATCTCCGTATCCGACCGATGCGCTGTCGGTTACGGTTCGTCTGCGTCGCTGATCGAAGAGGAAATCGTTGTTGAAATCAGCCATTCGAAAGCGTAGCCAGCAGCTGAACTCGTACTTTTCATTTCCCTCGATCTCGTTGAAAACCAGAAGTGCAAGACGCAGCATCGAGATATCGGTTCGTCGATGCGAGCTGTCCACCGTCAACACACTGATACATTGTAGGCGACTGTACGCGGTAGGTACCCTAGAATGGACTGACAGAACGGTCTGTCCGAGAGAGATCGGCTTGCCTCGCTCAGCAAGCCACGGCTTGGGCTCGCACCGAGAATGGAACATACTTTGAACAAGCGCTTATTGCTTGCTAGATAGAAAATGTCTGAAGGGCTTCTGGTGGTGCGCGCGCGCGCGCGGAGATGATGCCGGTGCTGGTACAAACGACGAGAGTCTTTGTGGACGAAGCCCAGAAGCCGCGGGCACTACGCACCCACTGTCTATTCGCCATCCAAGCACATCTCTCACTACGAAAGCATTACAGTTCTTTCTAGAGTTCCGAGCTGCCGCTGGCATCAGCGTCATCATTGCCGCCATTCTCGCTCAACTAACAACACACTGGCCGACTAGCTGGCGGGTCCGCGGATATTTCTACCCGAAATTCCACAAGCAGAAACTCAGAGACACTGACTGAGAGATGGAAGCTCAGATAGATGGGATGAAAGAGAATCTGTCGCGGGGAGCGTTTATTCGCCACCAGCTATTCTTCCCATCGTTTGCCAAAGAGGACAGTGCTGGCTCAGTTTACCCTGCACATTTTCTCTGGTGAAAAATCGTTCCTGAACAGCCTCACAGGGAAAATCTTCGAACGGGTAATGAAACTTTCCGGAAATACAACGAAATAAAAACTCATTTTTTCCACCACTTCTGCTATTCGCTTCCGATTTGAATTGGAGGTCGGTGGTTTCTTCGCGACCGATCAATTTTGTTTCGGGTTCGGAGGAGGCGCTCAGCTATTCCACGATTCAGACAAGAATTGATTCAAGGGACGAAATAACCCGAGCAATGAGATTTTCAGACGAAGTGAATCTCCTTCAAATATTGGTTCAGGATCGTTAGAGCTTTCCCCCGAATCATTCAAACTGCGGGGAGGAAAAGATGATTCAGAAACCTGATTTGTCGTCGACGAGCGGATCGGTGATGACAGAGTACTCCCGACTCAAACGTTCCAGATAAGTAATCGCAGAGCGCAACGGGGAGACATAGGAAAGATGTATTACGTCCCGCCGTATTTGACTTCGATGAGTTCGCGTGTTTCGCCGCTGCTCGATGACTCGGGCTTCCTTCGCAGCTTCGGTTTATATATAATTCTTATCCCCCTTCTCCATCTCTCTTATATTTCCCTCTGCATGGCGGACCAGCTTTCGCCGGCGGCAAGAACCAAAGATGTCGCCTGTTTTTTTGTGCATTTGTACGGCGAAGCTTCTGAAAGATGCTTCTAGCTCCTGAATTAGCTCTCAAATTGTTCGTCATCGTCGTCGCGGCCGACGTTCTTGAATCGATTTCCCGTCTCGTTCGCGACGAATCAGTCGATCAGGTAGGTAGACGGTCAAGAAGTAAGCAAGCGACCGGTGGAACGAATGAAATTTCGCTCCACGAAAATTCCATCGTCGACTATCGTTGACTTCTTGTTTTGAATTGCCGCGCTCGTCCCTCCCCCTCATCGTAATCAATTATTCCGGGAGCATCGACTTCGTCGACTCTTTTGCGAGTGAATGCCGGCTTGATTCATGGATTCGGTGTGCTCAACAGCACAGGCGTCTCTCCAGCAAGATTGATTCTCAACGCTCGCCCAGCAGCCCGGAGAAGCCCGAAACGACTCTCGTTCGCCTACTTAATCAGCCCACCTACGTGAGTCTCGACAAATCGAGGAAAGATATGACTTCACCTCTTCCTCCTGATGGAAACGAGCGAGAACACCTCATTCAGAGGAAGATAAGGAGACTTCGATGGTAATCAGAAATGCCGACGTCAAAGAAAGCATTGTTGCCGCGTTTGAGAGTCTGCCACACAAATAGATCGGGGAGACCGGGAAGCCGAGCAAGCGCACTCTGCTGAGAAAACTCGAGATACGCAAGCCGCGGCCGAATCAAGGATATGACGCTCTAGCTTGTGTCACAGGGGCTGCCGCGGCAAGCGGAGTTCGTCAGCGAGCGAGCCCCGAGTCGAAGCACGACTTCTAGAAACGAGTCAGTGGAAATAAAAAACAAATAGCAAATATTGTTCTCAGCATTCATACACGGAACGAAGACCGCCAACAGACGCTCTACTGCCCACGCCAGTAGACGCCAACTGACTGACTGACTGACCGACCGAGCGACTGACAGACTGACTGAATGACTGACAAATGTTTCTCTCGTTCACTAATGAAAGACGCTCGAGGGCCCAAACCTCCGGGTCGGGTTTGTTGCACACCGTTTCTTGGCCGACATTGCGTCTCTATCGAAAGAAAAATCGTTGGCTTGTTGGTCAGATCGTCGCCTACCAACACCGTTAGCTTGCAGCCAGAGAGGCAAGCGCCGCTGCAGTAGCGGCAGGAGCATCATGACCACTTACGAGGAAAAATGCCGAGTTAGCTGTAATTCGTTCTTTTTGGCGCAGAATCTCTTGGCGGAACACATAAAAAGCGTACATGAGTGACTTTCGTCCATTTCAAAGCGGCCTCTCTCTCGGTACGGTTTGCTGATTCCAGAGGGGCATTCGGTGATTTGAATCGCTCTGCGCTCGAGTTTCTGACTCTAGCCGGCATTAAATGACCTGTCGAAACACCTTTTCCTTCCAGTCTGTTCAGCTGTTGGTCTGGGCTGCTCGCTCAGTCGGTCGGTGGGTCTCGCTGTCCGTCTGTCTGTATGGCTGTCGATCGGCTGAGACGTAGGCAGCTGAAGTCGCCATTTATTGTCATAAAACACCTAGCTGTGTCTCCTTGCTCGAGATTCAACGTCACGCGGCTTCTTGGCGGGCCGGTTGACATAGATCGTCTAATCGTTGCTCAAAATCGTTCTTTCTGACGTCGGAAGCTGCGGCGAATATTCGGGTTTTTTACTAGCTCGAGAGTCGACGATCGACCTCCGCTTCTCAATCGTGCTCAGTTTTGATTTTTCCCGCCACCCGGAAAGCCGAAGCTCGCAAATCGCGGGCATGAACCCCCACCCGGAGATGCGATTCCGGAACACTCGAGAATCGACAATGGTAACAACAGAGCCGCCGGCGGATCAATCCGGCCTCGGACCGCGAGATCAAAGAGAATCCCTGTGATAGGTGATGGAATGGCGAAAGCCCGTCGTTACGACTCGACGGTTCCACCTCCACCTCCACCGTCGTCGTTGTCGCCGCCGCAACAGCAGCAGCAGCTTAGTCCGAGAGCGGGGACGATGGAGAGTTCCTTGGATAAAGCGGGAGAAATCATGACTGAGTGTCAATGCAAATGAAGCAACGAGAAACGAACGAGCAAACGAAACCGGAGGCTGGCTGGTGGCACTCGAAGTCGATCTTTTATTCCCAATATAGCAACAGTAGCTGGGCGTGCGCTCGAACGACCGATGTGCTGACGGACTTGGACACTAGGATGTTCCGACGACAGGTCGCTTTGTTCGCGCCAGAGACGGGATGATCAGTTATTTTTGCTCAACGACGGAGAACAACTTCTTCTCCAGGATGATTTCTCCATCTTCTCCCCAACAATTCCCCCCTTCCCCTTGTCGAGAGATATCTCCGAGATGGGAGTCCCGCGACCGCTCCAACTAATGATCTCCCCCCGCGCAAAAAATCGCACATCGAACGAATGACCCCTCTCGTGATTCGGTGTCGCAACTCTGCGTATCCGATTCAAAATTCTCACGAACCTGGTGCGAGAGCCTATTCGCGAGAAAGGCGTCCCGGATCCTGTCGGGCGACTGGGGGTACGGCGAGGTCGAGGACGTCTGCAGGCCGTTAGTTCGTAGCTGATGCTCCTGGAGCGATGAGCAGGACGACGACGAAGCAGGACTCAGAGGCGCTGATACACCTCCCACATTAGCGCCCATGGACGATTCCTCCCTGGAGTTCCCTCCCGCAGGAGCGAAGCCGTTCGTGGCATTCGCACCGAAGAAAGTATTCGGTTGCTGTTGAACGGCTCCCGGGAACGATGACATCATCTCGAGAAGTTTACCTGGAACACCAGAGTAGACATATTAGATTAGCGAAAAGAACATTCGAGATCGTCAATCGATGAAGCGTGACGTCTCGGAGGACTCTCGCTCCAGGCTTCGCGACAAGTTCGGCACGGTCTGGATAAGCCCGACTCTGGGTTTACTCATAAGAAACATAAACTATCCGGGAGAAGGCTCAGTCTGAGCACGTCGTGACTCGAGCCACGTCGTCGACGACAACCGGTGCAATAGCGGCGGCAGCAGCAGCAGCAGCAGCTATAGAAGTCGCGAGGCCATCGAGCGCACAAAGTAGACCGAACGCTTCAATCGACTCGGGCAGTGAGCGAGATGAAGGAGGCGAAATTCGAAAGTTACTTCTGCATCTCATCTTGAAGTTTTTTCCTTCACTAGGTTGTGAAGCCTCGTCGAATATTCCTCGTACATCAGCTCGCTGGCTCTAATCATCGGACCGACGCATAGCCGCGTGGTATCAGCGGTCACTATGTCACATACGCATTCCCGTATAGACACGGTCTCGATCGAGAGGATGCAGCTGATTGCGCTCGGCTTTGCTCGGCAGACATTTCTGATCTTTGCATTCCTGATGGTTCAGCAGGAAATACGCAACTTCGCGACCTCACAGCCTCCGAGAGCCCGATGATCGAGGTGCTGCTGATTCTTCCCGCGAGAGTCATAGTCACCAGAGGAGCTGGCACGTTCGATAATGAGCTTGAAAATTCCTGCCTATATCATCAGCATTCGCACGAATATCCACCGAGATGGTTCGTGCTTCGACTCTATCTATTCTAGGGTTCTCATGCCGGAATCGGGAATTCGTTCGTTTTCCGAGCAAGACTGTCCCTTCACGGGAGGGATATTCCTTTCCCGATTCCCCTCCGGAGTTGCATAGAGCTCAAGAACTGTCACCCACAAGACTACTGCGTTTTTGCCGCGAGGCGGGACGCGCAGGGCAACGATACCGAGAGAGGAGCAGGCGGTAGACTGAGAGGCAGTTCCCCTGTTGCGAGCCTTGGAAGAGAGCAGAATTTTAATCAGACCGCCTGTCTGCCTCCTAACCCACCCGCCTTTAGCGTGCAATGAGCTTGAGTTGCAGCAAACCTACCCCAGGCATTGGCGACCAACAAGCCCGCTCCTTCCCTATTTTGTTCTCGTTTTTTTTTATGGGTTTTCCTCCCCCTCCTCCGCCTACACTTATTCCCAAACTTCCCCTCAAACTTGGCTCTTTCAGAGCTCGTGCTAGCAGCAGAGCGGGAGGCGGAGAGATCGATGCGCCAATCAGCATCCAGGCCAACTCCCTTGCTTTCCTCGGCTTTGCTGTCGGCTTGTACGTTGGCAAGAAGCATCCTTGTTTTTGTGTCTCTTCAGAACAGCGGCGGCGGCAACCGCTGCAGCGAACAACAGCGCCGCACTTTCCCCTCTGATATCCCTCCGAACTCCACCGGGGTGGCCCCTCTCCCCGTGACTTGGATCTCGTCCTGGCAGCGAGCCCTTTCTTCGTTCCCCGGAAAACCCCTAATTTTCTTGTATTTTGACTCGCTTCATAGTCTACTCTTCCTCGCACAGCAAGCTTCCCCCGCTCGCCCCCTCCCCCTTGCGTCGGGGCCCCGTCCTGCATTCTCCATTTCGCCCCTGGAGCTCCCCGAAGCGCGCACCGAACGACCCCACATTTTTTCCCCTATTCTCCCGAAATTCTCCCGCGAGCTCCCTGGACGACGAGGATCGTCCATAAGGCTGTTTCGCTGCCGTTCATGGAAGCTGCCTAACGATCTTTTGGGATTTGGAGATTCGAATTCGGAGATTGCAAGGAGTTCCCGAATTCAGTATTGATTACGAGAATTCCCTCCCGAAAGGATGAGTCTGTCCGTCCAGCGAGGTTCGGATCCCGACAGCGGAATTATCTCGGGAGACATTCCCAAACGCTTGAACTTCCCAAACGGAATATTCGAGCTCTAGGTCAAAGCTTGTACATATGATTGACTCCGCATCCCTGGCCTACTGCAGACACACGTAATAGCTCGGGGCTCGGGGAAATGCGGGAGGAGTTCTGTGTCTTCAAGTAGCGCAGTACCTCCGAGAATTGGTCAGTGCAAACGATCCTCGAATATCTCGCCCTGTGTGACGGATTCAGAGAACGCACCACAGAAAGTACTCGGAGGGAGGCTCCGGAGGGCCAACGAAGAATCTACGGACCGGCCTCCGCAGTTCACCAATAATTATTCCTCCAGAACAATTCCACTGTATGAGCTACTCTTCGAGCCCCATCCATCCAAAGGTCGTGGGAACAGTCGGATGTAGCGGCCATGGGCATCAAATCCGCAATCCAGAAATCAGGATTCAAATCGGATCGTGCACTTTTCGGAATCGGGCCCGAATGGTTTGGATAGCTCAAAACAAAACTCATCCGAACAGATGGTAGAAAAACGAGTAATGCAGGAAGACAAAGAGGGAGACACGGAGTCGAATTTTTTTTTCAGCAGAATGTGAAATGCTGCGCGATGACGGCGAAGCATCGTGACCAGAGACACCTTCCGGCGGCATTACGGACCGACAGCGGCACCGTACAGCGGCTCGCTGATATTGTACAGAACTGTCTGACAAATTTTGCTCGCACAAAAATCCTCAATCACGATGAGCCTTCGATAGGCGATGTTGGTAGGGAAGACACCACCACGAGAAAACACAACGCCATCGAGAAGATTAGTTCGATGGATGGCCTGAATCAACGATTCTCTCGAACTCCCGTCTGAGAAGGTCGATCCGCGGATGACTTGTTGTGATTTTTCTCCAGAATGCAAACGCTGCCGTTCCGCGGTCACCACGGATGATTTTCGGCTCTGTTTTTTGTCTTCACACAAATTGAATGTTTGCCGTTGCCTGAGGCGACTTCAGGATATTTTGTTTCCTTCATCATAAAATGATCATTCAGCCGATCGGCGTTTGTTCGATCAGCTGTTCGGTGCGTCAGCGAGCGAGCGAGCGGGGACCGTCCAAGTCAATCAATCTGGCGGTCCGACTAAGCGTCGGTTCAGCAAGAGGGAGTAATGGAGGAACGCTCCACGGATTGATCCAATCTCCGAACGGATTTCCACGAACGTCTTGTGGACGGTCCACTCATTCTGTGGAAAAATTCAATTGTGACACGGTCGCGGTTACTTTGCGTTCGAACCGTAATCCCTGGACACGATCGATTCCATCATCATCGTCATGATGATGATGATGAAGAGCATCGTCAAGTTGAATCGTCAGGACACGGAGACTCGGTCGCCCGGTCCTTGTCATCATAACGACGACGAGAAAAATAATAATATAAGACTAATAATGATAATGTTGTCTTTTCGCGAGCTTTCCCACTCGGCCGGTCGACGGAGCGAAGCCACCGATAATGTCTATCGGTGTCTTCCATTTGTGTGCGTTGAATATATCGACAAAAACGCCGACGTTTAGCGGGAACACGCGATGGAAGCGATTGAAACAAATGAAGACATGAAGACCGTCGCGTCACGAGAACCGGAATCCGACACCGGAACAGATAAATCGCAGAACTCGTCCACCGGTTCTGAGCTGTCGTTGTCGTCGGTTTCGATGCCGTGAACTCTAGCGTGGGCGCATTTATTCGTAGAAGAGTCTGCGTACAAACGAATACAATCACTCTCATCGTCCAAGAAAAGAAAAATCGGACAGGCTAAGTAGTCTTGATAGATGTTTTTCGCTTGTGAGCTCTCTCCATACGATTTGCGGTTTCGAACCAAGGGTTCGTGGGAGATTTCCCGATTCTGGCCAGAGCGCCAATCGAATCCGCGGAACCGTTCCGAAACAGATCAAAGCCCGAAGACGACCGCAGATCCTAGGAAATTGGTGAGAAGCTCGTCTGGTGATTGGAGCGGACAATGCCACCAGAGCGAGATACTAGCGAATATGAGAAATCATGAATAAGGATATGAATGAAAGCATCCCGGGCGAATAACACGGATTCTAACTCCAATCCATCAAGCGTTCATTCGATCGATCGATCGATTGGTCGATCGGTCGGTCAATGGATCGATTGAGCGGGAGCTTGCAAATAACCCGGTTCTTCTTCTCGAAACTATGCCGCAAGTACTTGCCTCGGAGTTCTTTCTCAAAGTCAATACGTGCATCTTTCCGTTTGATTCCTGCTATGGGACGAGCGAATGAGAGGCATGTGTCGCGGATGACGACGCGACGTCGACCCGCTCGGCACAAAACAATGATCATCACGAAACAACGGGAGGAAAGGAAACTCATAATCATAATAAAACCAAAGCAAAGATATGCTCAATGGAAAGCGTCGAGAACCAGAACAAAAAAGAATAGAGACAAATACGCTCGCACATTTGTGAGAACATTTGTTAGAAGAGGAGCGAAGGGTCAGGTCTCCTTCTTCTTTCTTCAAACAGGTGCCATCTCGGATCGAGAAGCACCTTCTACGGCGGCGAAGGCAACGACGATGACAAGTCTCCCAATACGAAGGTTGAAGAGAAAAAAACAGGTGAGAGCGCTCTGACTCCGAGGATGATCATCATCCCTCTCGCAGTCGAAGATTAAAGTAATGTGTCGGACTCATTCAGGAAATTCTTGAGGTCTGAGAACTTCCTCGCCGTAATGAGAGAGCCTGTCATGATCACAAACAACTCCCACTCAACTCTTGACGTGAGACAGGGTGAACCTGTTCATTTCTCGGTCGCCCGCTCAGTTCCCGCTCATCGAGAAAATCATCATCACGAGCTCGTCCGTCCGCCATTCCGCCCGCTGTTGTTTTTGACTGGCCAAGTGGTTAATTTCTGACGAACTGTTATTTTCAAAGTGGTTCCGTTAAGAACTGAGGGAGTTGAAAGCTTCGGCTACATATGAGTCGTCTCGAACGAGCTACGTTCATTCGACAAGCTCATCGCTGCGCGGACCGTAGTCATCATCGCTCGCCATCCTCGCTAAACGTTGTGTCGCTGCCGGGTCCGCGTTCGGCTGACTGGTTTTTTGATTC